ATCTCTTCTATTTAATTCTATTCTATTTCACATTTTTAAAATGTTCGTTTTGACACACTAAATTGGTTTTATGACTCAAAGATTGAAAAATACAACAAATGTTGGCATGGATGTGGAGAGATGGGAATACTCAGACACGGCTGGTGGGACTGCAAACTAGTACAACCTCTATGGAAAGTGCTATGGAGATACCTCAAAGAACTAAAAGTAGAACTACCATTTGATCCAGTAATCCCACTACCAGGTATTTATCCAAAGGAAAAAAAGACATTCTGTAAAAAAGACAGCTGCACTCAAATGCTTACAGCAGCACAATTCACAAGCACAAAGATGTGGAAACAACCCAAGTGCCCATCAATACATGAATGGATTAATAAAATATGGTATATGTATACCATGGAGTACTACTCAGCCATAAAAAAAAATGATAACCTAATGCCTCTCGTATTAACCTGAATGGAACTGGAGCCCATTCTTCTAAGTGAAGTATCACAAGAATGGAAAAACAAACACCATATGTACTCACCCTTAAATTGGTACTAACTGATCAACACTTATGTGCACATATGGAAGTAACATTCATCGGGGATTGGGCAGGTGGGGCCAAGGAGGGGATGGGTAAATTCACACCTAATGGGTGTGGTGCACGCTCCCTGGGGGATGGGCACACTTGTAGCTTTGACTTGGGTGGTACAAACGCAATTTATGTGACCAAAGCATTTGTACTCCCATAATATTCTGAAATTTAAAAAAAAAAGGTTGAAAAATATTGCTCTAGAAGATATATTTTTAAAACTTTCTCTAGAATTTCAAGGTCAGATACAATTCCTAAAAATTAATTCTCATACTATGAATTTGTATCCCAACAAAAGAAGGGCACTATCAGATAATCAAATAAGTCACAAAGACTAACATACAGCCATGGCAGCTGCCACCTGGGGAGTGGGAGGAAACTAAACCTAATCTCCATCAGCTTCCCTAAAGCCTCCCCAAGTAAATACTCAATTTAAGGAAAACAGCATTTGCTAAACAAAACAGCTTGGCAGTAAGTCCCTGGCACCCCAGCTCCCTTCTAGCCAGAATCTGGCCCTTAAGACTCTCATCCTCTATAGAAATTCTAGAGCTTCTACTTGCAATAAATATTTTTAAAGTATTTCATGTACAGAGACTTTAATTAAATGTGTTTGGATGGCAATGACTTTATTAAAATAAGTAAATGAAAATCAAGATAAACTATTTTAAATCAACACGGTTTGTCTGATACAAAAATCTCTCTCGGAAATTTGCCAACCTTCACTTAAATTGCGTTGTGTGTGTGTGTACATGTGTGTGTTGGGGGTGGGAGAAGTGTATTGATTTATCCCAGATGCAAACAAAGCATGCAGAAGTAGATCAGTGGATCATTAGTTAAACAGTATCTCTTTTGGTTTGCCCTTGAAATACTAGGCCAAAGGCAATATAAAACTTTTCTTCGACATGAGATGTTTGTACCGTTCCCTGAGATATTCGTACAGTTCCCGCTGAAGGAAATGTGACAGCAACCACCATCACTACCTAGTAGCAAGCTAGGGATGAACAAACCCCAATGTCTTCAGAATTCTTTTAGGAAACGTGTTCCCCTGACAAGACTTAAAGTCAGAAACAGGCAGAAAGACCAGAACATCCCTTTTCCATCCTCTGTGTCCACAAGCAGTTCTTCAGCTCTAAGAACACAAGAATGTTCATTTAAGTTCTTGGGCTAACTACCCTCATCATTTCCCATCCAAGAAGCATGTCTGAGTTTAAAGGACTCAATTTTGTGACGTTTGTCTCAAATTAAGAGACAACTTTATAAAATGTTAATAAATCTTCCCGTCTTTCCCAAAAGAAATCTGTTTAGCACTAGAGAAAGATGTTCCTTTTATAAGGATAAAAATGCAATTTTCCTAAGAAAAGGGAGAGAGTCATACTCACTATTTATCAGCTCTGTCCAACAGAACATTCTGTGATGATGGACGTGTTCTATAACTGCGCTGTCCAATACAGTGGCCACTAGCCACCTAGTACTTAGCACTTGAAACGTGGTTGGTAATGACCGAGGAACTAAATTTTAGTTCATTTTAATCAATTTAAATTTAAACAGTCACATGCAGCTAGTGGCTACCATATGGGGCAGTATAGGTTAGATAATCAACGTAAGTCCTCAGCAAGAGTGCTGAGAAATTGACTCTTCTTACGCTGAATGTCATAATTTAAAAAAATCATATTCTATCTATACCAATATCCAATTTTCAGCTTCCTAATTAATATTTAAGGTTTCCTCAGAAGTGGTTTTTCAACAAAGTTTTGGCAATTTTTATTCTAAAAACATGAACATACCAAATCTACTGAGCAAAATTCCTTTGGCAACATTCAATTTTCCATCTGTGAAACTTAGGCATAGGAAAAGAAAAAAGAAACTTCATAAGCCCACCTTCCTCCTGTTACAAAGGGAAGAAATGAAATACATAATCCAAAGAAAGGCTAATAGAGATGCTTTAATGGGTACAGCACACCTGTTCATTAACCCTGCTTAGGTTTGCTTCTTTAAACCTAGTTGCGGCTTTCAACAAAATTTATTCATCTGTTTGTTTGACCTCTTGTTCTATTACAATGAGACTCTGACAAGACCCTCTGAAATCAAGTATTCTACCTATAGGAAAACCATTTAAAATATTCACATAAAATATTCTATATTTAAATGAGACAAACTGATCAAATTGTCAAAGTGCAGTAGCCCAAAGAAGAGCAGATGCTTCAGAGAGACTAAAATATGCAGATCGTGCCAAGACCACTTCCCAAGCAGGTGGCAAAAGAAACCACACAGTTCTACAGTCAGAAAGGAAGAGACACCCCAGGAAAATATGCTTGAAAACACACTGCAGCCATATTATGGCCATAGGATAACTAACTTCAAGCAGCACCACTGCACTCCTTAGGACCTCAAGGTCAATGCTAAATTAATTTTTTTCACCTTCTCAGCATGCTAACACTTATACATCAATATAACACACACACAAGCACAAACATTTCAGTAATTTCATTGTGTTTAAGTGGAAAGAACTTCTAGAACCGGTTTCTGAAAATATTAATACTATGAGCTCATTTAACACAAGCAAACTTAAGTATACCATAGAAAGAACAAAGCCACTAGTACCACATAGCATATTTGGAAATGCTCAAACTATACCAAGCAAAGCAATCCTAAGACAGCAGTACAATTCAGGTAAGAATTCAGCACCACAAACTGGAACTTCATTTTTTCTCTACCACTGCTACTGCTACCATCAGGTCCTTAGAAAGGACTAGAAGCTCACTTACTGTATCCAAAGAGCATTTGAATCACAACAAGACAGGTGACAAGGAAGCAACGCATACACTATCCCAGGGGCTTCAGCTCTTGCATAATAATAAAAGGCACTGCCAGAAGGAGAAAAGGCTTCATCTGGGGCAACTGAGAACACTCAGACATAGCAAGAGTACATCAGATTCCATAAAAGCTGTATACTGTCAGTCCTTTTCTTGTGTGCATGGATAAAATCTGCAGATGCAGGCTGCGCAGGAAAGAGGGAGACAGAGAATTTTAAAAGGAGAACTGCCATAGCGCTTGATCCTGACAGCACCCGCCTCACTATTCCAAGCTATGAACCTACAGACTCTACTGACCACAGCATCTGCCCCAGGATTTCTAAGGAGTCTGCCTAACAGTTATAAATTTCTGTGATTAAACCTTCCACATCTGACAAGTGCTAGAAATCTCAATTTTTTTATTATCCTAATTCTTAGGGGAAAAAAATTAAATAAATGTAATAAACTATGCAGAATTTTCACCGCAGTGGCATAAGTTCTCAAAGCACGTAAGGTTTATAATAGATAATAAACACTGCTTCTCATTTAGTTCTATAAAAGTATACTTCAGAACAGCGTTACTCCTGCTTCTCGAAATGCAATTTAAAAGCAGAAATAGAAATCTATGCAAGGACACTCAGAAGATAAATTAGCATAACACAGAAAACTTAATTTTTTTATATTTAATACTCTCAGATTTATGAGATAAAATATAGATTCTCGTGAACAAAAGAAACATACATAACAGAAAAGAAAGCCATTTTTTGCTTGGCTTAAAATGCCATTAACACAGGATGATAGCACATTAAATGAAAAACTTATTAAACTATCTTAGCACAAATATGGTTCAGTCATTTTCTAAATTTCCAATTTTGTGGGCTACATGTCTTATATCTTAACTTGATAAGCTCCCAAGTCCTATATAACACACTATTGCTCTATGAGAGCTTTTGCAGACTGGTTTTAATAAATGAATGTCAGTCACATTAAAAATGTATTATTGAAGGAATTTATCAACATACAATTATGAAGTTACACTTCTGAAAACATCAGGCTTCCTAACTGAGATTCTGAAGAGAAACCCGACAGAATTGTCTTCTATCTATTTTTTCAATAGTCAAATCATAAAAGCATCTTTAGCCCAAAGTATAATGTATGAGGTACATTTAATCAGGGCTCCTGACTTAAGCACATTACAAATCTTTTCATATGCATGAAACTAAAGTGCTCTCACTCTTACTTACCTGTATATCCAGCATACCATCCCCAGGAAGCCACCATTCCTAAAAGCCATTTATACATGATTCCTTCAATGTACCAGAACCGCTTACTGTCCAGCACTCGCAGGGGCTGAAGTATAATCACATAGCAGATGTAGGATGGAATAGCAACCAGGTTGTTGGCGACCATGAAGGCAAATCTCAGCAGTGCTTTCAACAAGATCCAGCCCAGCCACGGAGCTTCTTCCAAAGTCACAGCCATTCTCACTTTGGAGTCCGTCCTGTCTTTCTGGGGTGAAAGAAAAATTCACTTAAAAAAGGAAATGGATTAAACACATCTAAATAAATAGCTACCAACAAAGAAATAGCCTCCAGCACCGAGGTACAGTACCTGGGTGATCTCTCTGGGAAATTCCAGAGAGGGACAGACAGCGAGGCCTCGAGGAGGAGCCGCACAAGGTCAAGGGAGCTGTTCACCGAGGCACGCGGTATGTCACAATATATTTAGAAATGATAATACAATTCTCACTCACTGATCGGTGCCGTCCCCGCACCGCGTCTCACTGCGGTCGTTTTTTTGGACTTTAAGCAGGAAAAATACACCCACTTGCTTCAGACACCCTCAGTATCTCCAAACGGACGACACGAGTGAAACAAGTGAAACCACCGAAACAGAGACCTCTCGGTCAGATTTCCCAGATACCGAGCATTCGGGCTCCTCACCACCCGGTTCCCATTCCTGCACACTGATGCATTCCTCTAAAAGGTCTCCGGCGTTAGCGAAGAGTTAGCTCACAATTCTCATTTGCAGCAATGGGGTTTTTGTTTTCCTTTTCTTTTTTTTTTTTTAGAAAAAAGGAGAGGGGCCTAGAAAAGAGAGCTTAGAAGGTGAGAGGAAGAAAGTGGGGGGTTACAAGACGAAAAAGAGGAAGGACAGGAGTAGGGGGAGGGGAGCAAGAGCCAGCAAGAGGTAAAAGCAAAGGGGCCGGGGATGAAGAGAATGAGATCTCCGACCAGAGGACGGGGAAGCGAGGGATGATGAAAGAAGCAGGGAAGAAGAGGCGACGGCAGCGCGGGGGGCGGGTGGAGCCGGCAGCGGTTTCCGCGGATGTGGAAGGGGTCGGGGCGGCGAGCGCGGCCCGCGCTCCCGGCTCACCTCGGCGGGCTCGGACTGCAGGCGGCGGCGAAGCGCGGGGGCGGGTGTCCCCCGCCGAGGGGTCGCGGTCATGGACGCGGCGGCGGCCGAGGCGGCCCGAGGCGCGGCGCGAGCGGGCGCGCGGGCGCCCTACTCCCCTCGCGGCAGCCTGCGGACAGAGGGACGGCGGGGACTCAGAGGCCGGACCTGTCACCGGGGCGGGTCCCGGGGAGGCGGGCGGATGCCCCGCGCCCCCGCCTCCTCCCCGGGGCCTACCGCGCCCTCGTCCCTCAGGCCTCTGCCGCCGCCGCCCCGGGCCACGCGACGACGACACCCCTTCCCCGCCCCCACGCTTCCCCGGGCCCGGCTCCGCCGCCACGCCGGGGCCTGCGCCCGCCGAGCCGGAGGTTACCTCGGGCTGGCCGGGCCCCGACCCGGGCTGCGGGAGCCTGAGGAGCCGGAAGAATGCATGGCCGGCGGCGGGGCCGGCGGAAGGAGGAGTCGGCGGTGGGCCCCGGCCCCGCTCTGGCTGCGGCGCGGCCCGCGCCCGGTCCGCGGTGGCGCCGAGACTCGGTCCCCAGGGCCCGACCGCGTTCGCCCGGGCTGGCGGGGAGGGGCGGCGGGAGGAAGCGGCGGGAGTCGGGACTGCGGCAGAGCCGCCCCCAGAGCGCCCTCTAATGAAAGCGCGGCGGCCACCGCCTGGCCCGCTCGCTCCGCCGCCGCTTCTGCCGCCGCCCTCACCCCGACCCTTTCGCCCGTGGGTCAGGCCCCCTGGGGCTTCCTGGCCGATAGGGCAGGACCTCAATGAGCCCAGAATCGAGGAAAAGGGCCGCTCGGAAAGGTCTAGGAATAAACACCAATCTTTACACCACACAAGGAGCGCTTTGGTTCAAACTGAGAGCCCCTTTTCAGCCAAAACGTCCGCTTTGCATTGTTAGAGCACTCTTTGCCCAAACTGGGAAGCTGTCTCCTTGAAGACTGAATGTCCTTTTTCATTCTTAATGAAACCCATTTGCACTCATTGCTTTTCTTCTGAATCTCTCCGGAGTGTTAATGTCTGAAGTTTTAAATCAAGTCCTTTGAGCACCAGAATTCTTATTTCTGGAAAGCACCTGGGGCATTAATGACACTTTCAATTTCCCATTCATTCCCCTCCCACTCCCTAAAAAAAGGAGTCTGGTGGGAACGAATGGTTTATACAGAGAGACTGAAATGTGGTTAGTCAAGAAATGAATAACCAAGTGCCTGGCATTAAGTGCTCAGAAACCGGTGGCCTTGGGACTGCCTAGACAAGCCTGGTTACTCTTGGGATACCATGGCTACACTCTGGTTCAAAGGTTGGACCACCTGAAATGGAGAAATAGCCCAATGACCTGACCACTTGTACCTTCTCAAATGACCTGCCTAAATTTCAGTTTTAGAAAACCCAACTTATAAAACCTATGTCCCTTAATCACACTTGCGAACGGGGGTTAGGGCAGATTTTACACTCCTAGGGAACTGCCGTGTTTGAATCAGAATACCACCTATTCAGCCTACTTTGAAAATGTTCATCACTGTGTTTAATTTGGACTCTCAACTCTTTCTCTCTCTCTTTAACTTCAGTTCCTCTTTGGTCCACAGGTAAAGGAAAGAAAATTCACCTTATGCCATGTGAAAAAATATTTTCTGTTCCCATTCCCTTTGGTGATGAAGAAATAAATGAAAACACAGAGCCTGTCTTAAGTATTTATTGGATTTCGTTCCATTTATTATTAGCTTATTTTTATTTACATATGTTATTTATCTATTTCATTAATATTATATTTTAATGGTACAGAGCATAAAATGGCACAGGCCATGTCAGGGAAATTTCCACATAAGCTCAACTGATATGTAGCAACAGCAAAGTCAGATATGCCCATTCTGTTCCTTGCATTTTCTCTGTTAATTTTGGTGCCAAGGTAATAAGATCTTTAAATAAATCTCATGAGTGAAATAATATATGTACTGTAGATTATTATTCAAAATACATCATTATAATCATAAGTAAGCAAGATAAGTGAGGCACATATTTCTTTCCAGAATCAAGAGTAAACTCCCCTAAGGATTCCATTCGGTCCATCTCATTCTGCTTTCCCACATGCTGGGTGAACGCTTGCTGACACCTGGAGGGAGATGGCTTTCAAAGGGATTTACAACTGGCTCCTGGATCATGGAACATCTGCCAGAGCAACAGACACACCAGCGCTTGGTGAGATATAATTAGTACGAGGCCCAGAATTTTTCAGGCCCAGAAAAGAGCCAGAGGTTAGACAGGACTATGAATGGTAGGTCACAAGCTTTAGTGTGCAAAAACATCACTTGGGCTATCTACCAGGGAGACAGAGTCTTAGGCCTCAAACCAGATCATTTGAATACTCTAGGTCCAGTGGACCTGGGAACCTGCTTTTTAAAAAGTATCATAGGTGATTCTGATTCGGGTATTAGGCAGACCTTGCTTTAAGAAAACCTGACCTAGAAGTATCCTGAGATGATGACATCCTGTTCTAGACCCTTCATAATTCTAAATCATTTGATCCTATCTGTTCTCATCGGTATAAATACCACAGACTAGGAGGCGTAAACAACAGAAACTTATTTTCTCACAGTTTGAAGGCCAAAGTCAGAGATCAACGTATTGGCAGGTTTGGTTTCTTCTGAGGTCTGTCTCCTTGGCTCCACCTTCTCACTGGGCGTTTACCTGGTCTTCTTCCTGTGCATTTACTTGTCTGGGGTGGGAGGTTGGGTGGGTGTGTGGGTATGTGTCTCTCTCTTAATCCTTTCTTATAAGGACACCAGTCATATTGGATTCGAGCCCACCCTAATGACCCCATTTGTAATTTAATTATTTCTTTAACGCATTGACTGCCACACTAGAAAAAAAATTTTTTTCTTGGGGCCACAGGTTTTATTACGAAAATAGAATAAAAACTTTGAAAACAAAACAATTCTTTCTAATTTAATGAAAAATTTGTTGTTTTTTTATTGTTCTCTGTGTATGAGTTATATGCAACTTGAAAAATAGTTCACGTGGCTGAAGGTAAAGAGATATGTGAGTTACATATGCTTCACAAGGCCCCCGGGCTCAAAACTACTATGAGTTAAATACAACTCACATGGCAGTTAATGTGTTAAAGGACCTATCTCCAAATACAGCAGCATTCTGAGGTACTGGGGATTAGGACTTCAACATATCAATTTTGGGGGCACACAATTCAGCTATAACATCATCTTTCTACGTTTTACACTGCAGAATTCTGCCATTTCAGTAGCTCCTCATGGAAAGGATATGGAAGCCCTAATCTCCTTGATCATTTCAGGTGTTCTGTTGACTGACTCCAATCTTGTTAGACTTTTCTTAAAGCTCAGCAAACAGTATAACACAGTGTTCCAGGTATCGATATGCCCTGGTTTTGTGCCAAGGGTGTAGGAGGAGGGTTATCTTCTTAACTTTCTGATCACAGAAACATTCCATTTCAAGATAATTCAGGGCCTGTAATAGATAAGAAACTGCATTTGGGCTGACCTCTTCAGGAGACAGTTCCATATGACGCTTATATTTATTTCGTGTATTTCAAAGTTCGTTTTAGTTGTGTGTCTTGTATTCTTTCAACTTACATACAATACCTTCCTCTTGCCTTTTTTGCCCTTCCTCCTTTTAACCACTTAGGCAACCTCCTGCGATTTTTTTCTGTAGCTTATTTTCACTGTGCCATGGGAAGAGAGGTGTATAAACACTCTAAATCACTACAACAGGAAGGTCAGAATGGCCAGTTCTTCAGGGTAGACCGATCTGTAGAAAGCAAGAATCTTCTTCCATGACTAATTAGCTTCCAGTCTCCTATCCTGCTACCTTAGAGCCATCTTTATCAAACACAAACATGAGGTCAAAAATTCAGAGCCTTCATGTACACCCCAATAGGGAAACAAATAGACCCCACCCTATAGCCACAGACGTTACAGTTTCTGTTTCAAAAGCCCGCACTTGAACCACAAGAGGATGGTCCTTTGAAAGAGAAAGAGGACTTCTCATGTTTCCTGGAGTCTCCAGACATTTGAAAACAATCTAACCACAACACCTTAGCAGATTTAATTCCACCCATCTGGTCCACATGCACACAGCAAATTAGGT